ATTGATTTTCCTTTGAAAGCTTTGTAAATATCATCACATATATAAAATCTTCAATTTATTTGCATCCTTATTAATTTTGTAGTGCTTCACAAGTTTTCCAGCAGGGGGCACTTGAAGGCTGGAGGGATTTAGCTATTCAAAGGAGGGCCGAGTATAGAGAACCCTTGAGCTTTTATTATAACCCAGAATAATCCATCTCTTCCCCATGCCTTTTAAAAAATCTCTTTGTTGAATCTAGATGCAAAGCAAAAGATGCGTCAGGCGTGGAAGTCCTGGTTGATCTACGTGGTGGTTCGTAGGACCAAACTTGAGATGCAGACCACCGCTCTGGAGTTCAGGCAGCGGAGTGTCTTGCGGTGAGTGCACTCGGGAGCCCTACAGACCAGCAGCCTTCATTTTGCCTCAGCAGCTCTGTGCTGCTGGAAAGCAGCATTAAGACCCACCTTAAAGCAATGGTTTTGAACACAATCGATGCCTAGTAAATATTTATTGATAACTTGTTCAACTATAAGATTAGGTTTCCACATAATCATAATTAACACTAATTGAGTACTCACTGTGTTCTAAACCCCTGTGTTAAGTTTGTGTGTGTTAATTGTTTTATGTAAAGTATCTCATTTAATCCTCACCATAAACTTTAAAATAAGTAACATTATTGTGCAGATTAAGATGTACAATAGGCCGGTGTGGTGGCACTTGCCTGTAGTCCCTGCTACTTGGAGGCTGAGGCAGGAGAATTGCTTGAGCCCTAGGAGTTTGAGGTTGCAGGTGAGCTGTGATGATGCTGGTGTACTCTAGTGGGTGGCTGGAGGGCGGCCACAGCGAGACTCTGTGTCAAAAAAAAAAAGATAGTAAGGCTCAGAGAGGTTGAGTAACTTGCCTAAGCTTATACAAGTTGTAATTGGCAAAACTAGGGTTCACCCACCAATGCTCTTAACTGCTGCTCTGCATGGCATCTCATCAGCATTGTGGACATACTGGAGAGACATGAATTAGTCCACTTTTAAAGCCAGATGTGTAACAATGAGCTGCCTTATTCTGGGACTGATTCCCCTGTACGTTGTCTCTGGTCGTCCTCTGGTATCCTGAATGGCAGTATGTTTTGTTTTTGTTTTGTTTTGTTTTGTTTTTGAGACAGAGTCTCACTGTGTTGCCTGGGCTAGAGTGCCGTGGCGTCAGCCTAGCTCACAGCAACCTCAAACTCCTGGGCTCAA